AAAAAATATATACATTTAAAACAATCAATACCCGAAAAAATTAAAAGTAAATATAAAAATTAAACAAATCTACAATATTAAAATCCATTTTCACTCGAATTTTAACGTTAAAAACGTTTCAAAAAAACGATATTAACCGATGATCATCTACTGGTTAACCTGTCCATAATGATGAATAACTCTTATAAATAAACCTGGATAAAAATAATAATAATAAAATAGAAATTAAAAAAGAAAAAGGACAACAAAACGAGACGATATTATCTTATCAGAATAGGGAATTTTTTTTAACGTCGAAAAATTATCTAAAAATACCCTAAATGAGGGTAAAAATCTATTGAAATCATCTTAATATAATATTCACAAGGAAGCCTAAGATTGTCCATCCTCTATCATTATGGACTGATATAAGATTTATTGGGGGCGTAGCCTCTTCGAAACTTCTCAAAAATGAAGTGTCAACATTGATGACATTCAGAAAACCTTTGAAAGAGTTGGTCGTTTAAAGCCCCTTTTTCATCCACGAACCTCTAGTATCATGAATCATAATTTAACTAGCAGTTGCTTAACGATCCAGTCAACGTGTTATTACTAATACGCTTGTCAAAGGTAAAGGAGTACTTTCATCGATCTGCTCCTAGGAATCTCAAAATTACATTGTAAATCGTAAAGTTTCCTGTGGGGGGAGGAGGAGGATAGGAACGAGCCAGTAACCAACCACACTGCTCGATCGTCTCAATTCCCACCCCCTCCCTCGAACGTCTACAGACCTTTGAGACATTTTACCGATAATTAATATGATTGGTTTGCGTGTTATATATGTGGATTTTAATTATGTTACAGCTAATTAGGAGTATTTACCTGGAAATTTCTATTTAATGAGATAATCCATTTAAAACGCTTTATTTTAATTGTATTTGCGGTTTGCTGGATGGCACATGATCAAAGTTTTCCATAACGTACGCCACAATAAATGATTGTAAAATAAATGTTAGGAAGTTAATCGAAAAAATTTCACTTTTACTTTCTTCTAAAGCGTTTTATATATTTTTTTTTCCTCCTTAAGATTAATGAAAAGTAACAATTCTTTACTAGAACTTTTCTCCCCCTCCTGTTTTTTTTTTCCTGCAATAAATTCTGGAGTGAAGCTACAGATTTAGATTGCTCTCGAGTCATCTCCATCTTAAAATTTCAATTAAAAAAAATATATTTCTTGACGTTGTAAATGAATAAATA